GATCCGTCTCATCCCTGGCCCTATGACACCATAGCGTGCTAATCACTGGAGGTTGGGGGCCGCCCGCGTCGCGGTTGATTGCTTGATTGTCTGATTGCCAGCCGGGAGTCGTAATTGTATGCGGTACGTACATATCGATATCCCGTTGTGCCATTCTCGACTACGGGGTTGCTCTCCGTTTTGGCCCCCTCGTGCAGCAGCTTTCGCACTAGGGCCCTCCCATCCCCCATCCCCCGTCCATCAGTCTGTAGCCACAAGGGACCGGCACGGGACCAGAAAACCTCCCAGCTTCCAGTTTACTGGAACTGTCGAGCCAGGATACCCGTCCCCTTCTCTTCCCTTGTGTTGAAAAGCGTGTGTATCTGTATGAATGTAATAATGGTGGTGGTCCAAGGTACGTGCGCGGTTAGAGCTCTGTGCTCCTCTCGTGTGAGGAGTGGCTTTTCCTCCTTCTCCATTGTGTCGTATTTAATCAGCTTGTCAGCGTATTGTTCTCTTCTCGACGACAAGGTTGTCTAAGTCAGGTCAACCGACCCCTTGAGTATCCCGTACCCGTAGCCGTAGGTATTCGTAGCTTTGCCCTTGCTATCGCCAAGGCTTCCCTCCACCCTTCACCCTGAGGCATGTCCTAGCATCTACAGACTGCGGATACAACCCTTTCTTTCCTGCACCCTCACCCCTCGGAGCACAAAGGTGAGGGGCACCTTAGCCTAACTACACGTCTCTCTCGGGCTGAAGTGCGAGGGAGGTGACGCCGCAAGGAATGTGGAAATTTGCTGCCTGCATGGACAGCGAAGTGCCTTGTTTTACAGTAAACTCTATCTTTCCGAGTTGCTGGGAGGGAGCGAGCCGACTTCCGACCCGGGATTGGCGACTCGCGGGACGGAATACCATAGGTAACTTGGACTGAATTTTGGGGTTTTTTTCCTCATTGGGGGAGTGGTCCTACGATCGAACGACGGCTGAGAGCCAAGCTTCCATCCCTTCCCTTTCGCCCTTCCCGCTCTGCTGCCCACAGCACCCTCTGTCCTTCGCCTGTCTGCAGCTGTGTGTGGATCGGGATGGGCAACAACATCGTCATGGCTCCAGAATATCAAAGTTTTACAGTGTTTTCATTTTCCTGTTCGTGACTTCCGTTGTTTGCGCCATCCCGCCAACATCGTGGCAGCGCCCCTTCTTCGCCTCCCGTCCGAGACGTTGTATAACCTCATCCCGAGGCATGGCAACTCCGATCCTCCAGGACAGGCTCCCGAATAGGGCAAGACTCCCGTTGTTGTATGGATGTATGGATGTGCCTTTCTCATCAAGAGTCAGACGAGGCCCTGCTTTGATACAAACTCTCTTTTGATTATCATCATTCTCTAATTGAATCCTCCGCCTCTATTTCCCGCGCTGGCACCGAACTTGCTACCCATTTTTAACCATCTCGGCCCTTTCGTAGCCTTGTTGTTCAACATGCCCCAACGTGCCAGTCGGGCCCAGCGACTGTCATGCTTGCTTTCGGTCGTTGACCGAGACCGGCCCCATGCGTGCGATCATCAACGCCTCACGCCCGGCACGACGCTGACCCATTCGCTGTGGCGTTGCAGCGAAGGTCACTCCAAGCAGGGAACCCCGAAGTTGCGAGATTCCGTTGTAAACTCTCAGAGAGAGCTACCCCAGCTCTCCTTCAACCCGTACCACCCTGCTACTCGAGCACCAAACTGGTACAACTCCCTATTGTAGATAGTGTACAACTGGCCTTGACACTCATTCCCCCGCACGTCCAGTAATTGAGGGAGCAAAAAAGCTCTCCGTCGCTGTCTTGTCATTGGACCGTCGTGATGATTCTATTCGCTGGATAGAGCCTATCCGTCCCTTTTTGGCATATTTGTTGTCCAAATTTACCTTTAGGCGGACCCTGAATAGTCTCTGGAGACTGGAGCCTCCTTGCCGGCACTCCGCTTGAAGGCTGAAAGCACCGCCTTGCCTGACTCTCGTCATCTAGACATTGACCTCAACTCACGATAGAGATTGGCTGGTTCGTAAAGCTGGAGTTGTAGGATCTTCACTAGCTCCCTGTTATTTGACCGTCTGAGCCCCCGGCTCTCAGTGACTCTCAAAATCACCACGTAACGGCAAACCCCTACAACCAACCCACTGTGGAGTTTCCCTCTAGGTTGTGTCTTTCCGCCTGAGCTCTTGGGAACGGTCCAACAGTGTCCAGGACAGCGGAGATGTAATCTGAATGGGGCCTTGGCTTCCCTACGAAACCTCGAATCCATTACCGCACGTAGTCGACATCTCCGTCGCTTAGCCTAGAATGAATGGTACCACACCTTGGACCGCCGTAGTAGACAGAATACCTGTAGCTACGTACTCGTTCAGTGCTGTATGTAACGGTATTAGCTTGCCTTGACCCCTTACTCTTCCCGGGGCGGCTCTCGATCTCTGATCTAGCCGACGTCTCGGGCCCCGCAAGTGCCATAGGCCCGTTTGCTAGATTGCTAGGTGCTATAACACGCGCTATCTGGAGCGCAAGGATTGCAGGAAAACCCCGAGCCACCGCCAATGAACAGCTTGATAATCATCACCAGCCTGCTGGGTCTTTGTGGCCAAGCAAGAACATCTATGTAAGCCCGCCCGCGTTCAACCAGATCTATGTGTTAGTCCCGAAGTTTGCGGAGTGGCTGGTGCCCCAAAGGGCTGAAGAACACCACCCACGGAAGCATGCAAGAGGGGTCTTTTTTGGCATACGTCCGTAGCACTACGGATATCAGATGGCGCAATACTCTGAGTCTCTATTCTTTGGCCGAGAGCCCGCGCCGTCTCGACGACGGCGCCAACGCTACCGGGTCCTCCAACGGCGATACAAATTTCGTTACTCAATAACGAGGTAAACCGTGGAATTGCGATGACGACTCCTGGGGCCAGTCGAGATTGTCGTGAAACAGACCTGACAACTGAGCGGCGGTCGCTCACCACGGAGGTGTGTCCCAGTTGGGAAAATGCTAGTCGCTCCTCCGAAAGGCAAAACGGAATCACAGCAGTGATGGGCACCACAGGTGTGCCAGGCAGAGGTTGGACTTTAAGAGCTGGGCCGGGTCCGGCACAGGGGGCCTGCTGTTGCTCATCTTTGGCATTCCTCCGCGGATTGTCCACCTTCTATCCCCATTCAGAGTTTGTTTCTGAGCAGCGGCTTTTCCGGACCGGTTGTGGATCGACCATCGTCTGTTCTGGCCTGCCTGTCCACAATCCCACCACCCTGCCTATGGTGAGCTCCGGATGTGCCAGGCACGGAACGGCACAAGTAGGCGGCTTGGTGATGGGGGTCAAGCGGAGTTGGGGTGCGCCGGTCAGCATGGCACGAGACACCCGGGCCAGAGCATCAGCCAGTTACAGGTACTGTTCGACACTGTTTTGGCAGAGGGTGCAGTAGTGAAGGCTGACCGTAAGGTACCTGAATGGAGTACTGGTCAGTGACAGGTGAAGGGCCGAGGGTAGGTAGTATGAAGTAGGGGGAGGCCAACTTCAGATCCCGAGGTTGCTGGGGGACCCCCCAGGCCCCGCGTAAGAAACAGAGTTTTGATCCAAAACCTAGACAGCTTGTGTGGCTTCCACATGGTTATCATTTTTGGAAACCCCATCTCACTCATTGCTGACAACGACCGACGACAAAAGTCAGAAAGAAGAGCTCTGCTCCGTGAAAAACCGGGGCGAGTCAGGATTCGACGGCCCACCGGTTCCCACCTGTTCCACCGGCTGGACGTGCTGCCTTGGGTCTCTTTCTAGAAGACCGAGAACTTTAAATTCTGGAGAAGTTCGGAGCCGGGCTGGGTGATCATGCAGAGGCCTGACAAGCAGGAACCAACAGTGCCACGGCATACGTAAGGGAGGGACGCTGTGGGTGTTCTACCGTTTGAGGTAGACGGTCAGGTCCCGGTCAGGCGGCGGTGAACCGGATTCCATCATTGAGCAACCCACTTGGACTGAGCAATGAGAAGTAACCCTCGTCCGTTACTGAGGTGGCCAGTAAACTCTATGCTCCCTCAGCTCTTGAGTGTGGAGAGTTGACTGAAGACATCACCGTCCGGATCCACGCGTGAGTAGCCAGGGGGGGCCAAGAGGCGAGTCGCGGATAGGCAGGGCAAAGCGAGGCAAGAGGCCACCCCATTCAGTGCCGTGGCACCGTTCCGCACTTCGATTTCCGCTCACGGGGTAGAGATTCGTCTCAAGGGTCTGGATGGCTCTACAGACTTCGGGAGATTGTGGGCGGGTCGGCTTCGACGGGAAGCACATCGCGGCCACCGACCAAAGCTCTCACCATCGCGTGGCCAGGCCCGGTCAACCAGCCTTCAATCGGCCACATTCCGTTGTCCACTATGACCAGCAGCCACTATCACCACCCGGTGCTTGGTCCAACTACGCCGCAGTAAAGCCGTGGCCGTGCCGGAGACCTGCGTCACCTTATCAATCTGGGATATCATGACCGGCTGGGAATCCCCTCGCGGAGTCGGTTCAACTAAGGCAGTAGCTCGGCCGTGGGGTTTTGACGTTTGGTGCTCAACCACAGCCCTGTGCGCGCCACCAATACTGAAGCGCGGTCTCTTTTGGTTAGGGAGCCATGAATCGAGCATGATTCTCGAAGCCCGGAAGAACATTCAGTAGCGCTGTTTGCTACATGCGCTTGGACAACGCTTTGCTCCTCGCTTGTCTTGCATCCGCTGTATGTCAACAACAACTCTTTCATCCGTTCCAGTCTCCACGCCTAGGCCATCTCCGGGCCCTTGACTTCGGGCATGACGTTTCGACGATGGCAAGATTCAGCAAAACTTTGGATCATTCCCACACACTCGGGAGTCACGGCTCGTTGACAGCCCAGCTTCGATTACAACGCGAAAACACAAATAGTGCCGTCTGTTGGTCATCATGCCGTGCACATCCGGTAGCACTTTGTATCGAAGCAAATTCTATTCAGCCAAGCCAACTGTATTATACACTTATCGGCACAAAGTTTGCAGCCTTTGCGGAACGCTGTTGGATGCTGCCATGCTGGTCTAATTGGTGAGTGGGTCTATAAGTCGTCAATAAGAAAAAAAAAAAACAGGACCGATTCGCATGCCAATCCCGAGAATAAGGCGAGCGTCTCGTTCAATTGATAATACATTAAGGAGGTGCCCGGCATCCCAGGACCTCCGACCCACCAGCCGAGCGGAGGCTGGACGGGCCCCAGATTTCGGCTTATTTGCTCCGCCGTTTGCCGATCTGCCATCCCCATGATCTGAGCACCTTGACAACCTTTGGCGTAACCGCGGCGGTCAAAGGCACTCTGAGGAAGATGAAACTTTTGTGGATTGCATATGCCAAAGCCAACTGAGTTCCCAAGCCTACAACAAAGTCAGTTCGTGGAGCTTCTCAACCCTCTACCTCGAGAGACTTTTCGTAGTGCAGTTCATGTCGACTTACTGGCTTCCGCTTTGTTGGCGCGCTGAGCTTCCTCAACTCCCCAGGTTGCCTTCTCAACAGCATCACTGATGTCGTTGTTTCCCAGCTGCTCGGTTTCGGCCTTGCTGAGTGCGGCTCTGTATTCGGTCCACCAGGTCTTGACTGAATCAGGGATCACTTTTTGAACGTGGGACACTACCCAGTGCTCCAGTTGACCTACAGCCTATGTGTCAGTACTGACTCAACCCACTTAGACTCGCATATATTGCTCACCAATCCGGTCGGTTCCAACGATTCGCACGAGCAGGAAACAGAAGGGAAAATCCAGAACGCTCAAGGCCAGGTACACGCCAACGGCCGACCATCCATATTCGCGCGAAAGCTTCTTCAACCTTTGGCTGAGCGAAAGCGACTCCTTGGCAGCACCGTCTGCCGAGTTGCTCTGCCTGGCGGAGAACCGGAACGTCCGGCGTGATGACCGGAAGATCGTTTCGAGCCGAGACGTGATCCAGCTTGAAGTCTGACTTTGCGACCAGCGGAATTGGGCTCGCGATGCGCCAGGTCTTTGATATGTTGCTCGCGGGGTTGTCGTCTTGAAAGTCCTTGTTGGTGCAGTGAATTGCTTCCTCCACAATGCCTCTGTTGCAGTTTGCCTCGCTGCCGGTATCGCACGGCGCGGTAGGGTTGCCAATTGGAAAGCTGGTCGCATCATCTTGATGGCTAGCACGATCACGCCAATAGCCCCTAGACACAGATTATTGATTCTTATGGCTCGTTGTGGTATGTCTCGACTCGAGTCAAGATTGTAAGGTCGGTCGTGAGTGAGTGATGGGTTGCGATGGAGACGCGCCGTGCTGATCAAGCTTGCGTGCAAACGGAATTTCTTTTGGAAGCTTGGGGTCCGAATCGCCGTAAACTCCGCGTGGATGACGACAAAAAGTGTGTTTTGCCTCCGATGCGCCGGTCTCCGATGGTGCCGTCGTCGCCGAAGGTTCCAGTCGGTGTGCGCACACAGTCAGCCCAAAAGTTCGCAGAAAGGCTCGGTCGTACTGATCAGTGCGGATGCTGCTTCGGTGGCTTGCGCGCGCGGCGAAAGTCACGTTGGTTCTCGCGTCTTTGACCCTGAATGTTGAAAAAATCTGACGAGAAATGGAGCTCTTCCGACGAACTGCCCAGCTGTGTCGTGGGTACCCGGTAGAGGCGGCATCAACGCGCGGAACATGCCGTCAGAGATGTGGCTGGTGATAAGGTGGCGTCCATATCACGTGGGTGAACTCGGAAAAAGACTGGTGCCGGCATCCGACCTCATCTCATCACTCGGAAGTCGGCCCGGGTCAGTCTCAGATACGAAGGTGTCTGCGACAAGCCACAAACTTTACTCTTACTACGCATGCGCAGTGTCTTACACACCCCATGATAACTTCACCGCCATCACAAATCACTCGCACTGACTAGCCCGTCCTCTTGGCTCCAACAACAGGCAGAAATTTCGAGAGGTCTGGAACCAACATGTTGGACTCATCGCTCATTAAAAGTCAATCTGCGGAATGTGTTAGCCTCAGTGCATCGCTGCGATATTCTCCCATTCGCTCGCATCAAATTTACGAGGGCCATCTTAACTTAAAATCGTATTAGGTCGTTAAATAAATTGTCAGCAGGTCTGAGAACTGATGCGATCCCTCGAATGGAAAGGTTTGCCTGCGAATACGCACTACTTTCCCTCAGGATCTCTGCTTTGCCCCACGATCTCCTCTGGGTTGAGGGTTATAGGGAATTCGTCAAGGGTGTTGGACAGGGGTTTCCACTTTGAAAGCTACCTAATGGCTCAAGCTCCGTGACACCTCGGAGTATCGATAGGTCGGCTGCGCCATCCTCCGTTCAAAGCTTCGTAGAAGTCCTCGGTGTTTCTCTGGCAGCAGTTTCGCTTTTCCTCCCAGCTTTGTACGTGATGATGATGCAACTAGCAATACTTTCATCCAACGTTCACGGTTACTATAGCAGGCAACCGGTAATTCAATACAAACTCTATCGCAATAAATGTCAGTATTCAGGTTTTCTGCCAAACTTTGGAGCGCGCTTCGTAATATCGAACAGGAAACGAGAGGGTCGGAGTGAGCCCGAAGATTATCCAGGTGGACATTCATCGGATTTAGGTCCGATCAGCATTGGCATTACCACCCTGGCATCACCATGGGGTTCAAACATGAACGTGTCATGGACCGACAAGGACCACCAGGTTCAAGCTCATCAGCCCCGATTGCCGCCTATAGCTCCAGCCGCCGTCGTTATCCAATTCCACCAACCGACCGCACTTCCGTCCCCGAGACCCGGAAGACGGTGGGCGGAGAAGTCGGTGATCCCGGGCTGCCATGGCTTCGATAGTGCTGCTTGGGAGTTTCTTATATCACCTTGATAAACTCAGAATTCTACCGAACGATTCTACCGAATCATTCAACCGAATCATCGAGCGTTCATTATTGGTGTTTCAGTTCAGCCTTGTTGACCGCTTCAAGTACGACCAAACTTTGCAGGCAGCAGGTGATCACGGTCATCTCTCCGTCCAGACAGATTAATTGGAGGGATATCAATAGCGCAAACTTTCTTAAGGACCCTTCAACCCCGTCCAGGTGTATGTAGAGCGCGCTTGCGACGACCGTGCGGGGCGCGGCAGGCAGAAGGGTCCTCTACGGACAAGGTTTGCGATACAAGTACGAGTGCTTGTCGTCAGGGATGCGAAAGTCAAATTCCCACCAAGGCCCGCCCGGGCTGAAAAGTCAGGACGCCTTCATGATTTTACATTACACGCAGCTTACATCTCATGGTCTAGCGGTCTTCAGTCGCATGATGTGCCGTTGGTTGGGAATTAAACAAGGCCACGACATGCACCACCAATAGGCTTGGCACCCCGAGCTCCTCCGAAGCCGTTGGCGCACTTCGGGTCCGGCTCGTGGTTCATGGCGAGACCCTCTGGACATCTGGGTCCCCTGGTACGATGCCACCCCCACCACGGATATTTTGCTTGGCGTCTTCTAGGATCGAATGCATACCTACATCCTGGTGGTGGTAGCTGACTTGTGGGCGAGGGGGTGAACGTAGGGATGATCGGTGTGGGTGGGTGTGCGTTTGTCAAAGCGTGTGTGTGCGAGAGAGAGCGATGCGTGCCCAGAGACGTGAGTGACTTGCAGCTCTCTGATTGCTAGCATTCGATGACACAGGCACATAATTCGATAGTTCGGATGGTCTATCTTCTGAGGGTTTTCCTCTCTTCCCTTTCCAATGCCATTTTTAGGCGTGGCCTCCGCGGCTAACGCGGGAGTCAGGACCCCGCGATAGTTTTCTCACATAGACTTTTTCTCGAACTTTTCCAACCTTCTTGGCGTCTGTGTCTAAAGGCCTCCTCCAACACCGGTGTCCGTCGCCTTCACCGAGGTCTGGAAGTTTAAACCGTACGGAGACAATGCCTTGGCGGCATGCTGCAAATCGTCCACTTTACGCACATCTTGCGACTCGTTATCCCAATTCGTACTTACCCCTTCCTTTCGTCCTTTTTGCGATATGTGCAACATTCAACGTCCGGTCCACTTGGTGGCGGGTATCGTGCATCGTATTCGATACTTCGAGGAAATGTATACATATCCCTGCATCCCATCGATCCATGATTCCACATGGCTACGAGTTGCCGGCCGGGTGCCACTTCCAAGAGCTGGAAGAAGGCGGGTGGCTCTGATTGGTACACCCCAGTTTACAGGCTGCCGTGGCTGCTCCGCCTGAGATGGTAATCCTACTAGAATTGACACAGACATTGCGATACTGAACCTCGGACTCGAGTCAGGAGGAGCCTCGGAATGGGCCTCGTTGCGCAGTATATGATTATCAAGCGTCCCAGCGGCCCATTCCGCAATGACTAACGAGCAGACCCGCCGTTTGTTCCGCATAGAAACGGTCCACCTCCGACTGCTGTACCAACAATCAGAAGTTCCAGGGCGATAGTGGACTGTCGTCTGAATCAGCAACCGGGCCAGGTCCGACAATAGCATCGGGCGGGGCCCCCATGGCTTTCCTTTCCGAGGCAATCCCGAGCACGCCTTTTTCTGCTCAAAATTGATGTTTACTGAGGCGAGAGCCCTGACAGTGAAGCCTTCCGCCCTCTGACTCGTTTCTCGGGGCGTGGCCTAGAATGGCAAGCTTCCAGAAGCCTGGCACGGTTGGTTTCAGGTACGTATTGCTGACAAAGGGCCAAGAGAGGAAGAGAGTTTGGTGTTGGTTGGGTGCGATAACCTAAAAGGGTTGTCACGAGTTGCTGAGTTGCTCAGAATTGCTCCTTTGGCTCTTGACAACTTTTGGACGGTTTACCGTAATCGTAATATGTCCCGAAGCGAACATGGAATCTCGCAAAGAAGAAAAGGAAGAAAAAAAGATCAGATGGGTTTGTTTCATATCGTCTGGAAATTTCTGCCCAGAAATGTCGTCAAACAGACATCATGGGACGCTGCTGCCCACGATTCGCAAGTGGCTGCGTGCGGACCGGGCGGAAAGATTCCCGGGATCGATCCCCACTGAGCACCGTGGAACGGTAGCTGAGATGGTGTGTGGACGTCCAAGTTTGTGTTCCCGGCCGTTGCTCACCCGTGCTTCCACGTGAATCAATAGAGAGTGGCCATATCCTGATTGACGTATGCAGGTAGAGTCAGGACGAGTGGACAAGGACCTCATGACACATTTCGAGAGTTGCATCTCCGTACGTGACACCCCTCTATAAACCTAAAATTGCGGTTCGTGTATCGGGCGTTGACCGTACCGTGCCTTACACGTGTAGAGTCCCTTGATTCTTGCAAGAGCCCTGCTCCCAGTCTCTTCACTGAACAAGCTTTCGATTTAATCAAATCAATTGCCTGCCCATTGCAAATTTGTCCTTTTTTAACTCCCTATGCCAAGACATGTTATATCGCCAAACAAGCTCGATATTAGTTGTCTGGTCTTCTCTGATGGAACACTTAGGTCATGGCGCACTTTCTCCGATACGAGAGTCGCAAGCATTGTGTTGACTGCGGGATTCAGACGTAACCTAAGCAATGACATCCACCTGACAGCTGCGACAGATTTGTCCCTTTCGGGGAGCTACCACTCAGCTCCCTCCCGCTTCCCGTACGGAACACTTCTTCTGAGATCGTGAAGTGGGCGGGCTTGGGGGTTGTCCGGAATCCCCTTTGGGAGAGGCGAGGGAGCATCAGCCACCCGAGAGGCGAGGCCCTCAATGGAAGCTTCCAACTTCTGGGTGGGATCCGTGGTCGAGAGTCGTGCCGGCCGGGACAGTATTCGTGGAAACTGGAGCGGGATTGCGTGCAGCTGCCAAAAGGTTAAAACACCATGGTGGTGTGTAGTCAAGTACGGGAAGGTGTGCGTGCGTGTCAAACATCATCATGTGTCACTTGATCAAAGCCCGCAAAGCGTCTTTTTTCAAATACCGAAAAGCTTAAAGTACTAGCTTTGATGGCTACTTGGCTGTCCCATTGTGCCTATACAGCCTTTCCGAGTGCGATAACTAACCTAATGACGGTGTATATTTCGTTCTGCTTCTGAACTCTCTGTAAATTCCCATAATTTTGTCTTTGGGCTGTCAATAGATGCATGGTCACCATCTAAGAAGTCTTGGAATAAGTTGTGGTTACATTGCTCTCGGTGAGAGTTTAGGGTTTCGTTAAAGCCAGTCTTGCTGCGCCACAAACTGAAAGTGACAGTTAGGAAACTTGTTTCGCCGGTGTAGGATTGTCTCTCAATTGTATTTCTGCTTGATGGGTAGGTATTTTGTCTTTTCGTTGCCAACTAAGCTCCCAGACTCTCAACTCCTAAAGCTTTTCGGCGAGACCGAAAGCCTATAGATTCCGTGCAAAGCGCTGAGATACACATAACCTACACGCTGTGACGTGGATCGCGATCAGCCAGTAAAATGACCTTGGCTGCAAAGTCAAAAGGAAAAACCTCCCCCTCGAGCGGTAATGTCTGCAGTCTATCCATGACGGTTGCATCTCAGTCAGAAGTCATCCAGGCAATCGTGTATGTGTCATGGAAGGGAAATGCTTTCTATTGCCGAACTTGTAGATTGCCGGCTCACTGACTATTCTACCAACCCCCTCGCAGCGAAGGCACTGGTTAGGTCTTCCCGTCACAGCTATCTCCAAGGGCCCTAGCTCCGGAAGAGTTCATTGATAGCAATTTGCTCGCAGGATGGCACAGTAGCA